GTTTGCTTAGCTACGCCTATTCGGTTTTCGCGGAATGTGCCTTCGAGGGATTTTTGATCTCATGAAGCCAGTCTATCTTCCACACTTACGCATCCACTTTACACTTCAGCAACGGTTTTCTGTACTTATTCTGTGAACGATTATTTGAAGACGTATTTTCTCGTTTCATTCAAATCGATTACTATACCGAAGAACAGGTAAGTGATTTAAAATGCAATAATGTGGGTGCAATAGGAACGATCCGTTGTGTGTTGTAGGTTAGACTAACTGTCGGTCAACTAGCTAGCGCTCTTCACTGGTTACACTTCAGAGGGTTAGCTTTTCTCTTTGGTTACCTATTCCGTGAATTTGTTCACAAATAAACTTTGTTACAGTATTGTTCATCTTGATGTGAATCCACATAATGTGATGTTCCAATCGAAGCGAAACTGGATAGTGAAGCTTGTTGATTTTGGCAGTGCACAGGTACGTACCGCTTATGATGTACAGGCGTTATCGCCGAAATCACTCGGGGCGTGTTCTTGCTCCCGCCTCATTATTTCATTGAGACTGGGTGTATAGTTCCCCGTTCTTGCCCATTCCCTCGCTCAAGCCTATTATGCGACTGTTTCAGTTCCTAAAGGAATCAGTGAAACCAGTTGAATTGGATACTGCATGGGCGGCTCCAGAACTTCACATCAAAGAGACGCCTGTTACTGTTCAAAGTGACGTATGGGGCCTTGGAGTGATCACTTTCTGCCTGTAAGTATTCTGTAGTGATGAAAGCGCTAAAATATTGGGCTAAATCCTGATGAGGAGTGTTTCAGACTGGCTGGATTCCATCCATTCACATCCGAGTACGATCGACCAGAAGAAATCAAGGAGAATGTAATGAACGTGAAATGCGATCCGAATTTGATTCCCGTTAACGCCAGTCAAGAAGCTCTCAGCTTCGTTACTTGGGCGTTGAAAAAGAACCCACTGTGAGTCAATTAGCTCTTCAAAGACCCATTTCCGCGAAGATTGAGTGGGTGGGGATTCCTTGTTGTAACCCCTTTCATTTGCGTGTGAACTGCTCCTCCACGTTGTAGAGGAGCAGTGCGCCAATGAACAAGGCACAGCTGCTGTGATTAACCGCCCATTTCTCAGCCCATACGATTATCGCGGAACGTGTATTTGAGACGTCGAAAGCTCCTTGCCCATTTTACACGCTATAGTGCCGGAATTGTAGCTCATTTTTTCAGTGAGCCCTTACAAAAATGCTGAAGATAATTGCTTCAAATTTCCGAGCTCCGATAATGAGTAGCTTCAAACTGTAACTTATTTCAGACGACAGAGATGCGAACGGAACCTGAGGCGTCTGTCGCATCCGTTTCCCTCGTCTTCCGATCCTCAAATGGTGCGACGACGGGAATCAATCAAGTGAGTTTTCGAGTATTTCAGCAATTGGCCAAAGGCAGATCTCATGAGAATATCGCACATTGCAAATGGTTGGACTATCCGCCACGCGATCAGCGTGGAATATGAATCGCTAACGATATTTGACGGCCAGGCTCGCTTTTAGAATACTCAGGCTAAGGGCGGCCCGAAGGGGTTCAGATGGCGTAACCGTATAAGCCACTGGGCGAACCTGTTGTTTCGAATTATCTTATAAAAGTCGGAACTCGATAATCATACCTGATAAAAAAATCGCGGGATTCTCAAATGAGACAAAACGTCTGTATTTCTTTTAAACTGCTTATTTAGCTAAATGACCATCATACTGTGACCCTGCTGAAGGACATCCTTGCCAGCTACCTCCAGATGTGGCATTCCGCGCTGCTAAACTTCGGGTGGGGTGGCAGGGGACGGAAGGGAGCCTACTTGTGGGCTCCATGTGCAAAAATGAGGGTTATGCCATCCAAATAGAACTGTCGTACTTGAAATTGATCTACCACTCCCGAAGATCTTTCTAACTTTAGGAATGTGGAGAGGTAGCTCACATCCCCCCCCAAGTTTGTCAGCGACGTCTTCTTTCAAGTATCGCCTACCACCCAGGTCAAGCAGGCCTTTCACCCTCCAGAGACGGCGAATCGGTACTAGATTCTTCTGGGAGAGTAGAAATACTGACCTTTACAATGACTGGAACCATTGTATGGGGCCTGTTGCATTCTCTGAGCCGCTACGATTGTGTGTGGAAGTAGAGCGCGTGTCGCATCCCTGAACGGAACCAGTTAACGACAAAATCTTTGCCCTTTTTATTCATTTTCAAGGGCCACTAATTTACTTTTTTCCAGATATGCTGCATCTCGTCTCCGCAAAACTGCACTCCTCACGAAGCAGTCTCAGGAACGGCCTATTAGCACCGAACTAGAGTTGAAATACGGAGGAAAACTGATACAGTAACGAAATTCCCGGATTCGTCTGAAAACGCGTCATTGCCGATCCTCGACAATTCTACAGTATAATGCCTATAACTATCAAACTTTGAAATCAAAAAGTAGACGTGTGTTGATTGTCTGTATTTTATTTTATTTAGATGAGGTTAGTACTATTTAGTAACCCTATAGAAACGTTTTGTGCTCTCATAAGACGCTCTGGAATGGTTGGGGAACTTTCCAGCAGCATACTCTGCAAAATTTTATGTATTATTTGTTGTTTACTGACAGATTTTTTAACACAATATCACCTTTCCCTCGACCAACAGATTTCACAGTGCAATATCGATCTTATTTTGCTCTCGTGCGCCGGCCCAGCTTTGTTCTTTGTTGTCGAGTTGCAAAGAGGTGAATGAAGTTTCTTTCCCAAAGTTTCAGGGATATACAATCGATAGCTTTAGCGCTGTTTCTTCTGTAGCTTGTCTTGACTGTTTTGGCTGCCACACCCTTCTTAAAGACACTTCTCGCGGTCAAGTTACGGGTAACAGGTGCTTGATCATGAAGCAGCAAAAAAACCTTGGGAGCACTCTGAACCAGGGACCCCCCCCTCAGCAGTGGGCGCCTTGGACGAGTTTGTCGGACGTCAGCAAGCCCAATCAGCAGAGATTCGACGTGCAACCAATTCCCGGCAAGAGCACAGGAAATCACCCTACGACGCTCCAGGCAACGCTATGTACACGCGCAATTCCGCTTGTAAGCCGTTGTCTTGCAGAGTGAAAGTAATCGTGGTTGCAATAATCACGCGTCTCTAGCTTCTTTATCTCGCCGTTTCGAGTGACGAAAGTGGTATATTCTCTGCGAATGCGGACAACGATGCCAAATGCACGGAGGCATTTCGCGGAACCACTTGATCGCGAGAAGTGTCTTCAAAGGCAAGTGGCACGAAAATTCAACAAGGCGTAAGGGTTGTCACAGTGATCTCGACCATCGCCCAGTGGATGTTGTGCTTGTGGAGCCACATCAGTGGGGTCGTATCTGGAAAAGGTAGGTAAGAAAATAGCAGAAGTGACCGCAAGCGCGCGCGTTGTCGGGATCGGAGACAGAGTTTTCGTGCTCCTGATTATGCGTATAAAAAGCGAACCGGCGTGCCGGCATTAAGGAGGCACTTCGAGTTAGGTAACATTTCGCTGTGACACCGCAGTCCGCAGTTCCAGAGCTTTCAACTGCACATACAAGTTACTGGTGCCTTGTAGGTAATCATCAAGTCCTTCCCCCCCCCATTGGGATCACCCGCTACTATTTCCTTTAGAAATACTCATCTTCGGTTCTTTGCTCGTGAGTGCATACGAGAACATTGCCCTCCAAACACACTTGGATATTAGCAGAAGAACCCTATCGGCCATCCAATCATAAAAAAGTAAAAATTAAACATTGTAATTTCAAAAGAAAAAAACCACAATTGGTTGGTCAGCACTCGAAACAATGGAGGAAAACTATATGCCTTAATCTCAACCAGCAGCAATAACTCCTAGTAATGGAGTTTTATCATCTGTGACCGTGTGCAACTATCGCTTGGATCCAACCACATTCTACTTTTCTAAGTAAAAATAGTTTTGATGGTATGGCAATCCCTCCTGCACACTCGAGAAGAACCGACTCGAATACTATTATACAGGACATCCACTGTACTGAGCCAGTGCTACATCACAGTACATACTCATTTGATGATGCACTGTACTTTCGTGCTTGTGGGTATCCAAATAACAACATCCGAGTCAAAAGCGCCCCTGACAGAGCGTTTACAGTGGAGCCGCTCACCGGACAGGTGTCGGGCGTTCTCACGACCACGCCGTTGGCGAGCGTCCCGTTGATTGCGCGTCGATGGAAAGCCGAGAAATTCCAGGAAATCATCATCATTGCCCCTGCGTCTCTGACACTGACTCTGCGCTCTAACATACCCCGCCGCGCCCTCTTTCATCACTCTTCTCGTCTGACCTCTCGCGATCGATGGTTGCTGACGCTACCAATCAGCTGATTTCTGCCATAATTTTTGTTGTTTTTCTGCAATATTCAGCTTGTAAAAGCTGAAATTGTTCTAGTTTCGGTTTCAATTTTTTAGATGGGCTGAGTTATGTTTACTGAATAAGATTCATTCTGTATGAATTCCAGCATTTGAAACTCTCTTTTAGAGGAACCTGCTTTGTTTCTTCTTTCTTTTCGCAATTTTTTTTTTACTTTTCGTGAATGTCTTCGTTTAACTTCGATGCTACTTACTAAATTCATGCAAAATGAAATCTAGCTTCCTCGAAACATACTCACCCTTGCTTATTGAAGCTGAACGAAGAATAATTTTAGCTTTTCGAAGCTGAAAACGGTAGCAATCAGGTTATTGGCGTATCAGCCATTTATCGATCGCGCGCGGTCGGACGCTTACGCCAACAGTTGGACGAAGCGACCGCTATACCGTCCGAAGAGAACTCCGATCTACCTACATCAATGGGACCGCCGAAGCCCGCTATCCAAAGGATCGCATCCGAATGCCGCTCTTCGCGAAAAGCTGCAAACTGGCGCAGCTTCCGACTAAATCTTTACTCTTCGTTACGGCACGGGAACCTTCAAGGCCATCGGAGCATGAACGGAGGCTTCAGAGGGCCACCTGTTCGTACAACACCTGTCGTTCAGCAATAGTGGTGGTGTTAACGTTCGTCACACCGCTATAAACATCTCTGAGATTGGTAACGAAAGGTGCAGCGCAAGGCATCGCTGCGCGTATGCGGGTGGCCGTGGTACGATCCCGCCAGGTGATCAGGTTTGCTATACCATATTTTATGCGGAAATGATCGCATGGCAACCTTTTACATGTTTTGATCCCGTAACTGATACGAATTCAACCAAAAATGCATTTGGATGAGACCCGTTGGATCGCGGGTATCGGCGGTGCCAATGAAAGAACCAGAAAGAGGAACCGGTGTACTAACTATAGAAAATTTCCAGTGAACCAGAGAGACTTCTGAGGCCATCGGATCAGGTTTGGTGGCCTCAAAGGGCTACGTGGTTGTGCCACACATATCCTACCGTTTGTCAACAACGCAGGTGGCAGTGTTTCACGTTCGTCAAACTGCTAGAAACCTTCTGGCTGTTGCAAACGATAAGCGCAGCGCGAGACATCGCTGCGCTCGCATGCGCGTCCGTGGTACGATACCGCTAAGAGACCACTTTTTGTCGAACTACATTTTGTGAGATGATGTGAGATAGCCGATTATGACTAACTGCTCTTCAATAAACGTAGAACAAACGTTTAGCCAAGTTTTGGACCAGCATGCGATACGAATCAACCAAAAACGCATTTGGATGCGACCCTTTGGATCGCGGGTATCGGCGGTCTCAATGAAGGAACCAAAGGTTCCTCATTGGGACCGCCGTGCCGCGATCCAAAGGGTCGCATCCAAATGCCGCGAGGTCCGTCGCACTACGCGACAGGCTGCAAATCGGCTAGCTAATAGCTGAAATT